CATCAGCTGACATCCAGCTGACACAGTGATGGGCTCTGGGTATTAAAACTAGGGCCTTTCTACTGGGCTTCAGCCCCAGTCTCCTCCCTCACCCCCAGCCACTTTTTGCTGAGTCTCTAAATTACCCACACTGAGCTCAAGCTTGCATCTTCCTGCCACAGCTTCCCAAAGTGCTAGAATTACAGGTATGCACCAAAATAGCTGGATTCTGATAAAATTTAAAGTAGCTTACAATCAGTGAGATAGACCTCAACATTCTCCATGGTAAGATTTTTCAAAAATCTTGTACTCTGTAACAAGGGGCATCAGATCTTTTTGATGATTTATATTTAACTCAAGTCCACATTAATGACTCAAAAAGAATTCATATTCATGACACATTTATTGCATTGGATATATGCTGGGTTAACATTAAGGAATGAATCAATTCTTTAAATATGTAGACCCAGAAAGGTAAATTCTTACAAAGCAAATATTTTTACAGTTTTCCATTTCAGGTCTTCAAGGATACTTGTTATGAAGCTTCACAGCACCTGCTTTTAGTTCATGGGCTTGAATTTAGGAGTGAAATTCATCAAATCCTTCACACCATTTTAGACAATAAAATATAACAGAATCCCAACTTGGAGTTTGTCAGGACATCAGACTCTGCTGTTAAAAGGATTTCTTACCAAGCAAAAAAGGCAAAGATGCTTCTAAATCAAAGGTGTTTTCCAACAAACAGCAAAACCAGGGCATCGCTTTGCGAGGGCCTCCCTGGACGCAGCTCACGAGGTGCGAGCTGAAGGGGAGCAGGCGAGTTGCGGTGCAGATTTGTTGAGGACAGACCAAATCAGGAGGCCAGCCCATTTCAGGGGACAGCCCCTGGCCAGCTGGTGCTCGCTTTTATACCGACCCAAACAAAGAATTTACAGCACAAAATACAGGCTGCATCATGCAGAACACTAAATAAACTCACAATCAGTTCTTAACCCTGAGTATGACCCGAGCACGTTCAGGGAGTGAGCCATCACAGACAACCGCTGTGGACGGGTGCCCTTCAGGCTCAATAAATGTGCTCAGAAAAACGTCTCCCAATCATGGTGATGCTCTCTGTTGGGAAATAATGGAGTGAAATGAGTGAGGAGAAGATTCAGAGAGGGAGAGAGAGAGGAAGAGAGAGGGGGGTGGGGGGAAGATCTGCACTATGGGAGCTGGGCCTGCCCTTGAGATTCTATGGAGAGAAATGCAATGCTTAAAAACATCTTTGTTGAACACAAGTGAGATAACTGTTGAAGTAGTGGGTGACGTCAGGCCCACTTGATTCCAATGGACACTCTGGCTTTACAGGTGTCAGATGTGGAAGAGCAACATGTGTCTTAGATAGAGTACTGGGTTTGTGTACAGGAACTTGGGAATGATACCCCAGGAGCTCATTGTGAGAAGGGGGATTAGAATCTGTCGATATGGAAATTTTTATTTTAGGGATAAAACTAGTAAAGAGCTCTTTCTACAGAGCAGTCTAAAATTTGCCAGGTAAGATTACAATGGCAGATGAGGGGATGGAATTAAGGCCAGGAGCAGCCCAGATTTTCAGATCCCACGAAATGGCTGCACAACACTGCTAAACTTCCTGCAGTTTCTAGTAAGTACATTTCCTGCTTTTTCTATTCTAACACTGCCCTCTTGTGATGGAATGGTGGCATTGCAACCAGCAGCTCTCCATTCAAAATGGTCTTCTAAAAATCACCAGAATCACTGCTCTGTCCCAAATTTTATACTAAGTGCTTAACACTTATTAATTCATTTAAAGTAGTAACTATTATCTTTGATTTACAGAGAACCTAACTGTGCCTACCCATAGCCCATTAAGGTGGCGAGAGGACTTTAAAGGAGGTCTGAATTTAACAGCTGCACTTCCATTGAATAAATAAATACTTTATATAAGCATCTGTTACTGAAATGAACAAATTTTAATGAATTAATAAATCATTCACTTGTGCAGCAGGAAATTCTGTTATCCTTCAGACATTCTTTCATATGGCTGAAAAAATGTCACATCTAGTATTTTCGTTGTAAAAAAAATTAAAATCATATATATTTCTAGAATTTAGATAGTTCTTATGGCCAAAGGTCCCCTAATCTGTAAAATCTGCAAGGAAAACAGCTCGCTCGCTGACTCTCTGTAAAACACATGCATTGTGAGGTATTATCTGATACAGTGTAGTTTATAAACCTATCTATGACTTTTAAGCTTATTATTCATTTTTACAACTTGTCCCAATATTCATTTCTAATCTTAAACCAGCAAAATACTAATGAGAAAAACACCCATAATATTCATTTATGTGGAACTATTTAGGCCACTTTTACAGGTGCCATTTTTACAGGTGCCAAGATCCCTCAGCTCCAGGGCTCCAGGGAGGGAGCCACAGATGGGTTATCTGTGTCCTAAGCTTAGGTGAGTGACTGAGGCAAGGGTTAGCTCTTGACAGGCCTCCTGCTGCCAGGGGAAACGCAGATGAACAGTGATGCGGGCTGGGGCTCCTCTGGACGGTGAAGCGGTGTGTCAGCAGGTCCTTGGCTGAGTCCTACAATGCCTAAAGCAAGATGACCAGTGACCAAGTGTAAGGAGAACTGTTCTCCAGCCCCAGCCAGAGTCACACCATTTTGCAGCATGTCCCCAGTACCATCCTGTGGGGTCCTCACAGGTGCTGAGGTTGTGTGTTCAACTGTTTGCTGAAACCAGAGAACTCCTAAAGGCAGAAAATAGTGACATAAACACTGTTCTCCCCATGGATTCTGATTCTGGCTTTTGTTTTTTGCTGTGGATATTAAAGGCCCATAAAACAGGAGCTCAGGAGGCAGAGGGTAACAACTTTGGTGCTATAGCTGCCCATAAGTGGCCCATCGCAATGTGGGCGATCTTCATAAACTCACTTAGGTACTTCATAAACTCACTTAGCCCTTCTGCGGGACGGGCAACTTATGAGTCAGAACACTTCTGTCACATGTATTCTTGAAAACTGTAGTTGTATCTTTCTACCATCATACTAAATAAGGTAGCAATTTTGTTTTATTTTATTTTTCAGAAATAAAGATCATCAAATCAAAAATACCTAATAAACGTATCACAAAGAAAGCCTGCGCCAGAACCTGAAAGGATTTTCTCCTCCTGTACCCTGCTTCCTTCGTGGCACTCACCCGCCTCTCCACCCAAGTCGGGGATTCCGTCTTCTTGCACTGCCCCCCACCCATAGACAGCCCTTCTGACAGTTGCACCCTGTGGCACACCTGCTGTCCCTCGGTCCCGCTTGTCACTTGCGGAATGTATCCCACCCCTCCAGCCAGAAACCTTCTGCGACATGGGCACCCTCGTTTAACTGCACCCCCGCGTCTAAAGGCAGGGGCTGCGAACACCGCAAGGGGGCGTGGGCTGTAGGGAAAGTCGCCTTGTTATTCTAAATGGCCCAGGCCGCGTCGCCTCTATTCTGTCCTCTGGATGGCACACGGTCAAGAACGCGGACCCCACAACCACAAAGAACTGGCTGTCACCCCCGATGGCCGCGTGGCCAGGGCAGGTTACGAGGCTCCCCGGAGCTGACCAGGGGAGGCGGGCCGCGCAGGGCGCAGCGGAGGACAGGCCCGCCGCGAGCTCGCGCGGAGCTGCCGGTAGAGGGCGCGCCGGCACCCCGACCACGCCGCTCCGTACTGAGCCGCTGCAGCCCCACGCGGATTGAACCGCGAGGACCGGCTGCGAAACATCGCCACGCCCCTTCTGACTCAGGCGAGAAAGCGGACACAGAGCGCGGGGAGAACTTGAAGAAAGAACCTGGACGCCAGAGGCGAGACCACCAAGAAAGCGTCCTGCCCACTTTCAAACACTCACCGCTGTGGCTCTTTCCTCAGTTCCCTCTTGGTTTCTTGTTGTTTTCTCTTTCATCACCAAACTCCCTTCCGCTTACCTTTTCAGGTGTGAGCAGCAGGAAGCACATGCAATGTGCAGCGTGTAAGACCTGAACTCATTTTCAGGGCCCGGGGAGGGCTGTCCCCACTCGGACTGAGCCCAGGCAGCCCTGAGACTGCGTCGTGTGTGCGCACAGAGCCCTGGACAGAGCAAGGCACTCGGTGACAGTCGGTGACGGATAATCAATGATTGCTTCTGGTCTCCAAGAGCCAACCTGGCTAAACTACCGTGACCAGCTGTTTGACCAAATACTAGTCCAGATGTTGCTGATAAAGTCTTTTTTAGGCTTAACATTTACAATCAGAAGACTTTAAATAAAGATATCATTCATAACGTAGCTCAAGGTTTAAAAAGCATAGAGGTTTTCTGTTAAGATTTCCAGAAAGAATTCTACTTCCGGACCACAACAGAAATTTGCCCTCAATTTCCAACCTCTGTGCCCAAGACCGCACGCAGCGTCAACTCACAAATACCATAAAAAGAAAAAGGAGTGCGAGTTATGTCCACTAGGGGGCCAAATTCCTCAGAGACGCCTAACGAAGATGAGAAAGCCTCCGCTGCACTTTACAAGAAAGTGTTTCTAACCCTCCTGCTTTTGAAAAGGTAACCTAGAGAAACAGAGAGATTTAGGGGTCTACGTTTGTCCAAAAGCCCTGGAAGCTCCCAAAAGGCCAATAAGGGGATCTCTATTGGTGATGAAGCAAAGTCAAGATAGAACTGGGCGGGAAGAATTAGAAAGGGAATCCTGGAAGACCTTCTGTTTCTCCTTCTCCAGAGCCCACACCAAAGTACACGTCACTCCAACGGAATTACTTGCATTTCTCAAAAGACAGCAAGCACCGTATGCTCCAACGCCTGCTGCCGCTCTCCTGCCAGGAACACGTTCAATACACTGCATACGTTTGTGGGGTAACTTGATAAAAGAATTCAACAAACATTCAATTCATAGGGAAAAGGAAATGTAATTTTGATAGTATAAAAGACATGGGGATAATGTATCTTTTGAAAATAATAATAAATCCTATTTAACATTAAAAAGAATAGGGTAGATTACCTGGTGACTGCTGGTTTCAGACACTTTGACATCCAAAGATCCTGCCAGCACAGCGTACCAGTTTGTTCCAATATCACCCTGGCGAAATACTGCAAAGGAAGCAGTGATGTGAATATATCACGAACAGGTTGGTTTTACTGTATAACCTGATCATTTTTTACCAGTTATTATATGCAGGACTTGGATCTAACTGAGCCTGCCACCCTTCTGGGATCTGCTCACACAGTATTTTTTCACTATCTCATCTATCAACAAAGGGCCAAATCCAAAGGGATTATAGGCAATGCCTATAATCCCAGCAAAGGAGAGGCTGAGGCAAGAGGGTCCCTGCAAGTGAGTTCAAGGCCAGCCTGAACTGCATAGCAAAACCTTGCCTCAAAAACAATACCAAGTCTCATTTATTCAACAGTCTATGAAGTTGAATGCATTAAACAGAATCTTCCGTATCTGCAGAGCTTTACAAAGAGATAATAACCCTATCTATAGCACTCTTTGAATCCAATGAGCAACTGGTACTCTGTGGGATTTATTTTAAATACATTTCAATGTATTGTGATTCTTAGAAAATTATGACTCTGGGTGGTACACAAAAACAAGGTCATTTGACTTCAACAGACTCAATTTCCTTAAATTATATTAAAAGCAATGTGTTTTTTAGAATAGCATTTTTGCTTTTAAACTCGTCATCTACGTTGTTGAAAAGTTTGAGTAGTGTTTCATCTTTGTCCTTTCTTGTTCATTTTATAAATTCATTCCTTTCACACATTTGGAAATAACTCTTACCAGAAATTTCTGCACCCAATTTTGCTTGAAGATTTTGATGTCAGAGAGAAAATATTTAGATTATTTCAGCAAAGCCTTAATTCCCATTATCATTCTAAGACCAGACTTTGGAAATTAATTCCGAAACCCTGATCCAAAAATCTCAGATAGACCAACTGCCTTTTAAAATGTCTTAACTAAATAATTAGAGAGAATGAGCTGATGTTTTCAACCTCAGTTCATGAGTAGAGTCACAGATCAAGTACTTGAAAAAATCACAGGATGACTGAGCGAGACACCTGAGTTCTGCAAGAGCCAAGCTGAGTGTGCAAGAGTGAGCTTGTGGAAGTCACAATTAATGACAACAGCTTCTCTGGACTCCCAGTGACACGATGTGGAAAGGCCAAAGGCAACAACAGCATCGCACGTGCAGCGCTATGCTTATGAGCAGGCTGGATAAGTTTACAACTGGCCTCTCCGGTAACCCCAGCTCCAAGCCTTTGTCAGGGCTTTGAACAATTTGGCACCTGTTACCTTTAACATTTGCCACTTAAATGCACAGCCTCTGTCACAGAGGATTCTTTTGCTGTTGTTGTTTTTAATTTTTATCAGTACACATTTGCAATATACAATGATTCCGTTCCTTATTCACTGAGGGGAGCTGGTATGTAACACATCTTCATTCTGTTGACTTCCCTTTCGCAGTCTCATCCCTGAAAGCATGAAGTTTCTGATCTCACTAAGAAAAATACATTGACCTGAAAATGGTATGTATGTATATATGGTTTTGTAAAAATAGAAACATGCGGGGCTGGAGATTTAGCTCAGCAGCATAAGCGCCTGCCTTGCAAGTGCACAATCGTGAGCTCGATCCCTGGTACCGATAAAAAAAAAAAAAAAAATAGAAACATGCCAGTGTTTGTGTGTGTGCACATGGGAAAGTATCTTGAAGGATGCATATAAAATGTTTCTAGTAAACTCTGGGTCTGGAGATTGTAGGTGATTTTTATGTAGTTTTGTCTAATGCTGTGACTGTCTCTGTTGCTTTCCCATGCAGGACCTTGAGTATCCTCTTACCTAACTACCCCAGATTTTATATAAATGTCCACCCCGTCCACAGGGCCAAGTCCTCAGAGCACGTGAGCTCCTTCCCCAGCTCCACTGGGTTGATGAGCATTTTTCTCTTCAGTCTTGGTCATCCAATTGCCTCTGCCAGGCAATGGTTTATACATGAGTATATGACTCAGTTCGGGCAAGTGACACAATACAGAAAGTCTGTTAAGAAACTTGTGAAAAAAAGACACAAGAAGAAACTGTCCATTGGCAGGGTATTGTTATATCAACATGAAATGCCTCTAACTGCTATCATTGTCTGAGGGCTATTTCTGACAAGCCTGATGACAAAAGCCAACATCTAAGGATGCACACGAAAGGAAAAAAGAAAAAGAAAGAGAAAAACAGGCAAGATCTGAGACCTTAATAATGTCATCGGACCACTCCATTAACCAGCCTGGGAATCATCATAACTCAGGACTTTTTATATATAATTGTTTTCTTTGTTGAATGAATGACTGGTTTTTCAAGGAAGTTGGATGGGTGTTTTCTGTTGCTGCAGCATAAAATGTACCAACAAGTAGAAGAGTATTACTTTTTAATTAAAATGTACTTTTTAAAAAATGCGACTATTACCTTATCATTGTATTCTCTCCCCTGGGGTAGATATTACTGCTGTTGTTTTGTGTTTTTTGCCCTTTTGAGATAGGGTCTTGCTCTGCAGTTCAGGCTGGCCTTAAGCTCATTTTGTAACCCCGGCTGATCATGAACTCACAAGGATCCTCCTGCCTCAGCTTCCCAAGTGCTGGGATTACAGGCGTGCACCACCATACCCAGTTTGGAATAGCTATTACTGAAGTTAACTCAAAACATTATCACCAGCACTACTTCAGAAAGCTGTTGTCTTTATTTGCTATCCTACTGGTCATGTATTTCTTGATTTAAAAAGATAATTATTTCCGTTTCTCTGGAAATAGCAAAATTCATGAGTCAGTACATCCTTCTAGCTCCTGCAATTAGGTTGTCCTGGAAAAACCACTTACATGCTGTGGACAGAAGAGTTAAGGGAACTGCTGTGGGGAACTAAATAAACAGATGAGAGGGAAGTGTCCAGCTGACTTGGATTGAAATCCCAAAGCTGGCACAAACATACTCCATATGCCGCCCATCCCCAGGGGATGGCCACAAATGAGCGCCAGCACCCAGGAAAACACGGCTCTGGAGGTGCATTTCTTACATGTTATTCCTTTTTCCAGGTTCTCATAATAACCGCATAAACAGATCTGATGAAGGAGGTTTGGGTGAAACTTCTCAAAAGCTTTAACTTCTTTCAGTCGTGTGAAGATTATATCCACATCTTCACTGGATCGTTCCAATGGTCTACATATGGGAGAAGAGGCACAAAAAAAGGTCTGTTAGTGTGAATTTACTTGAAAATAAGTCAACAGATGTAACTCTACATTCTGATGATGCAACTGTCACAATTGAAAATATTTACTGTCCCATTATAGGTATTTGCAGGCCCTTGGCCATCATTCGGCTTGTATCACTTCTGTTGCCCGTGGCTATAGCAGACAGTCTCAGAGTCCTGAGTTCAATATAGTGCTTTTGGGTAGCGCTTCCCCCTTTAAAAGTACCAGGATGTTATAAATTACATAAAATGTAAGCATTACTAGAAACTGAGGTTATAAACACAAATACTTTGAAGGGCCAGTTAGGTAAAGTGAATAAAAACTGTCCAATACATATAAGGGTAAAAAATCTGTACTATCAGCAAGGCACAGTGACAAGTGAGACAGGACATTCAGCTTCAGTCTTGGTGACAATGCAAGGAAGGGCAAGCTGCAGAGACAGCGGTCCATGGAAAACAGCTCTTATTACTGGATTCTGTGGAAATGTGGGCTTGTATGTTGTCAGAGCTTCCAGCTGCACAAGGAAAACTGGGTATCTCCATGCTTGTTCATACTCCTCAAACCCTGTGTGGGACACACACACACACACACACACACACACACACACACACATATGAGATCATCTATGGAACAGATGCAATCCATTGACCACCATTTTGAAGCCTCTGGCTTAAAATAAACCAAAGAACTAAATAAAAGTAGGACAGTTTTACAAAATTTATAAGCTGTTGTCCTCCTTTCTTTGAGCAGTTTTCCAAGTCTCGTGGTGTTTCCTGATAGATACATCACACTATTCAGAAACTACTGAGCCTCATGGATGCCCTGGAGCTTTCAAGGACCAGAGGGAAAGAGTCGAGTGAGGATTTCATAGATGATGCTCATCAAACTCTAGCTGCTCTCCGGAATTTACCAACTTCCCTTATAGTTACACTGGGCCAGGTTCCAGCCAGTGGGTCGTGCCCAAAACAATCCTGTATCGCCTGAGGTGAGACCCTTAACAGGGAAATCAGAGACACAGCGATGACAGTTATGTGAAGGTGGTGTGGACACAGAGCCTAGTGTGCAGACAAGCAGGGAGTGCCAAGGATGGCTGGCAGCCATCAGAAGCTGGAAAGGAACAAGAAAGAATTCTCCCCTATAGACTTCAGGGAAAACATATCCTACCAACACCTGGATTTTAGACTTCCAGCCCAAGAGCTGAGAGAGAACAAACTCCTGTTCAAACCACCAGCTTATGGTACCTTGCTTCAGCAGCCCTAGAAAGCTAATACTGAAGATGTACGTTTTAGGTATTACAGATACAAGCTGGAGAACAATGTACAACCCACAGAAGACTTGGTGTATATGACAAATAAACTTCCACTGTGCGAAGTTACTGAATGAGGCCAGGGGAAATGTGCAGGTATCAGTAGCCAGTCTGGTGCAGACTGCAGAGCTACATACACTAGAGTTCTGAGGAGCTCGGGATATTGCTGGAGGAAGACACATCCCCCATGAGAGACAGGCAGTTTTGGAAGACATGAACAGATGAGCTGTCACTATGGGAAAGACCTAAGGCACAAAATTTCGTAAGTTTAGAGGCTCTCTGCCACATTAGGCCCAAGAAAACTAGGTTCAAAGAAAATGCCCACAACCCTGCTAGCCTTCCAACCAATGCCTGCAGAAAGGCTTGGTTTCTGCTTCTTGGGGAAGAAAAAGGGAAAGTTTGATGCATTCGTGCTCTATTTTTGATATGCAAGGTGCCTGAAAGGGGGGATTTGCAGGCATTACCTACAGTTATGCTTTGAACGTGTCCCCCAGTACTCGTGTTGGAGACTTACTCCCCACTGCAACCTTGCTAAGGGATGGGACCTTGAAGGAGATTAGACCAGGAAGCTTCTGCTTCATGAATGGGCTATGTTGTTTCTCAGGGGAATATGCTTTTCATAAAAGGGTATGACCACTTTCTTCTCAATTTAGATTTAAAATGTCCCCCCAAAGTCTTGTGTCTGGAAGGTGACTGGACCATGGGGGTGCTCTCTTCATCTATGGGTTCATCCACTGATATTCAGCAGCTAACTGCTCTGTGGCAGGTGGAGCCTGGTTGGAGGTGGTCCACTGGAAGTGTGACCTGGAAGGGCATGTTCTTGTCTTCAGCTCCCCCCTTCTGTCTCTGCTTCCTGTCTGCCATGAGTTGAGCAACTTCCTCCAACATGCCCTTCCACCAGGTCACTCCTGCCATGGAGCCAACTGACCATGGACTGAATCTTCTGAAAACGTGAGCCATAATAAACCCCCTCTCCTTTAAATTGCAGGTATCTGCCATTTGGCCTCTGTGAAGGGAAAGTGACTAATACATCCTTCCCCATCTCCCTCCCACTTTTCCTCCTGGGTCTGTGTACCTGTGCTCTCCTGTGAGATGGAACAACATGAAGGTCCTCACCAAGCGTATGTCCCTTGGGCCACCCAAACTCTAGAACCATAAGAAGAAAGCTTTTCTTAATAAATTACTAAGCCTGCAGTATACTGTAGAGCAGTGCAAAACACTGGGAAAGCACAGCATATGAATATCAGCATCCTTTTCCTCCTACCACCCCTTTGGAAGGCTTCCTAAACTCCTGACAGGTGCAGAGTTCAGGGCTTTGGAGTCTGAAACTTCAGTAGTGAACGAGGTGCTGCGGATGGTTCTCAGTGAGTGTGTGCTGTGCCTGTGGAAAGCACTTCCCAAGCTCTGGACAGCAGTAGCTGGCAGAGGTGCCCTGGTGGGGAGCAAAGCCAGCAGGGTGCATTTCCTGGGAAGCAGTGTTGGTACCATCAGGGAGCCACGTCGCTGCCTCAGCAGAGGTAGCATGTAAATGACTCCAGGAGGATCACAAAATCAGATGAGCTGGAAATTGGCTAGACATCGATATGGCTGATTCTATTTAATCACATAGGAAAGGAGATAAGCAGAGATTGGAATCCTTTCAAGAAAGAAAGCAGCATCCCTCTTGTTTATTTTCTCCAGAGCCTTGCTCATATTAGGAAGGCAGACCAGGGCAGCTTAAAAAGCCTTCTTACTTAACACTTTAGAAGAAAGTGAACACTAGAGATTAACAGAAGAAAAACACATGACTCCCATATGGTTCAAAGGAAGCACAAAAGAACTTCAGTGATTCAGAACCAGATTGTTAAGAGACAAAGGACATGTGGAAAGGCAAAATCAATCTGAGATAAATTAGGATAAGGTGGAAAATTCTCCTGATATTTTCGTAGCCCCTCAAATTAGGTTCTAATAATGTCACCCATTAATTAAATATTTAAGGTCAGAAACAACGAAAAGAGTGTTTATGCGTCACTATTCTTACTGGGTCCTTCATGGAGTGGGAGAGATGTCATTCAGCTGTAACTGGCACTTTTACTCTTCCACTTCTAGAATCTGTCACTGGTGATAATCCTTCTCTTGCCTCTCTTCTCTTGTGAATCTCTAATTTCGTAATGCTACAAATCTTCCCATCTCCGTAAAGATTATGCCTGGTACTCCTTTCCAGATCCTACAGTACTCAGTCAAGGCCAGGCACGCAAGAAGCCCTTGGTGTGAACTCACACTAAACACATCTTTTCCTGCATCTACTGTATCCATACTCCTTACCTCCATAAAAGGAATCAGCTTACCCTCTGCTGTAGGTGAAATGTCTTCCCCACAATTCATGTACTGGAAATGTAATTCCTAGTGGGATCCTACTGGGAAGTGGGACTGAGTGGGAGGTTGTTTAGGTCAGGTGTTTAGCTGTTGAATGGATTCATGCCACTATAAAAAAGGCTTGTGGGAGAGGGATCACCCCTTTCCACCTTTTGCCATGTTATGATGTAGCACCAAGCCCCTCACCATATGCTGGGACCTTGACCTTGGACTTCCCACCTTCCAGAAACACAAGTAAATTTCAGTTCTTTATAAATTACCCAGTCTCGGGTATTCCATTACAGTATCACAATGGACTAAGAAATCCTCTTCCACCAAATCCAGGTAACTCTAACCACTAGTGTTTTTCAGATCCGATTCCTCTCCTAACCCCACTTCCATGGCCTCAGTACAGCTTGCCTGAAGGGCACATGAAACACATACTGGGAACATGAAACTGAATAGCACAGAGGTCCTGTCCCAGAAGCCAGAAAGCTGTGTCTGACTAAGCGTTAACAAAAGTATTTTAAGCAGGGCAGTGATATGATTGGAGGCACATTCTGGAAAGATCACCTTGACTGTGAATAGAGGCAGATGGGAGACAGTCAACACCAGCAGCCAGAAGACTGGCTCAGAAGTTCTTGCAGTGTATCAAAACGATGATGTGGTTTCTTTAATTATAACTCAGTCCAGACTCCTTTCCTCTTCCTTAATAACTGTGGGCAGCTGGTCCCCCAAGTAACAGCTCCAAGTACAAGACATTATTTTCCTTAGCCTGGCATTTAATACCCACAGCCCCCATTTAAAACATTTAATTTTTAAAAGGTGTTCAAATAACAGCACATAAAGTCATTTAGGGAATGTGGCTCAATGGTACAACACTTGCCTAGCATGCATAATGCCCTGGGTTCCGTCCCCAGCACCACCCAAAACAGTTTTTTTAACAGATAATTTATTTTGGAGAAAACAAGACATCATAATAGGTAGTGCTGATCTAATATCATCTTGTTTTGAAGTCCCATCAAGCTTTTGTTCTTCTGTCTCCATCGGTTTTAACCTGTTGTATCTTATTGGATTTTATTATATGTGATAATATAAACAAAAACTTTTATAGACAAGATTATACAGAAACCATTGTTCATTTTCTGTTAGCTGATTCTAAATACCCTATAATACTGTCATTCTCTTGAACGGCTTTACATTGTCTCGATATGTTTGATGCTACAATATACGAAGTTATACCCAAAGATTTTAAGGAAAGAGACACTATGGTAACTACTTTTATGTCAGGATTATCTTATAGTGAAACACTATTTTGCTTAAATGGC